ACTCCGAGCATAGCCCTCTCCATAGCTCGCTGAGCGACCTTAAGCTTCCTCATACGGCCAGCAGTGAAGGACCACGTCTCAGTTCCGTAAGTCACCACTGGCAACACGCACTGGTTGTACAATTTCGTTTTCAGGTTTTGAGGTATGTTGAATAATATAACAATATGAATTGAATTTTAGATCACATTATGTTATAAGCAAAACTAGTGGTCGCCCAGAGGTCGAAATTCGTATCGCAACTCATAAAGTTTTTAAGTTTGTATAATAAGCAAGCTGTACTTCACTTTCAACTGCATAATATTAAGAGGCGTATTACAACAAAACGCGAAATTACAAGGTTTCCTCGTTGAAATTGTATGTTTATCGTTCGTTGCTTGAAATAACAATAACTTGGTAAAAACAGTTCGTTTTCTCTCCTCAAATAAGCTCAGAGCGGATTTTAGATAACTTATTTATTTAATCAGTAATAATCATTCTCCCGATGCATGTTTAGGCAAAAACTCTCGAAGACATGATTTAGGAGCTCTAATTTGCAGATTCTATTGAATATCGACCATCAAAAAAAATATTTTTATCTCCCAAATATCCTACACTTTAATAATAATGGAATACATTTTCGTTATATGCTTTTCACGCTAGGAAAAAAAATCGACATAATTCAAAAAACGACCAAAATAGCTTCGATACAAGCCTCTATATTTCTTCTATCTTCAAATCTTAATCCTATCAGATTGAGATAGTGCGTCATCTCAGTACGACCCTAACGTCCATCATCCTCTGAGGTATTTTCAAGAAACAATGTCCCTTACCGCTAAGGCCTCCGTTCAAACAGGGCGGCAGGGACTCAAATGCTGTGTTCGACATACTTACGGGTGCCGAAAGCTGAATTTATGGTTATGATCGTGAAACTAAGAGACAGTCTGCTGTCTGGGTGTTTCCTTCCGTGGAGTTGCCAACTAAAGTGAAGAGAGGTCGAAGCGTGGGAAAAAAGATGGTGGCCTCGTTCTTCGGAAGGACAGGTCATAACGCACCTGTCCTTCCGAACGCAACAATTGTTCTAGAGGATCGAAAAACAGTTACTGCAGTGGTACATTAACAATTGTTTGCCACTTGTCTTGGAAAAAGTTCGGGAGAAACGGCCACGCAGTAGGATCTTTCTTCACCACGACAACGCCTCGGCGCACACCGCCAACCAACAATCGACTACTTGGCGACGTCAGACGTCGAATTACTGGGTCACTCGCCCTATAGCCCCGACCTTGCCCCTTGCGATTTTTATTTATTTCCGAAAATAAAAGAAAAAATTCGAGGAAAACGTTTTATAGAGGCCGAGGAAGCAGTGGCTGCGTTTGAAAATGCCGTCGAAGAGACCCCTAAGGACGAGTGGGCAAAGTGCTTTTCTCGGTAGTTCCATCGGATGCAGCGATGTATTGATGTGACACTATTTTGAAAAGATATAACAAAACTAATAACTTGCTAGTTTGTTCAGTTTTTGATTTTCTAAGAACTTTGAAGAGTCACACTCGTAGCAATAAATGTTACCGGTTTCCAACATATCATTGATATGCAGAAGAAACAGCGTTGGTGATAGTACGCAGCCTTGTGCAACACCAGCGTTAATAGGCTTGTAGTCGGAGCATGCACCGTCTACAACGACCTTGATGCTCCGAAATGCAAAAAAAGCTGGTGATCCAATTGCACAATTTCTCGAGAAACCCATAGGAAGGGAGCTTCGAAAGAAGCGCTTTGTGCCAAACCGGATCAAAGGCCTTCACAATGTCTAAACTAACGGCCAATCCCTCCCCATTGGACTCTACTGCCTCCGCGCATCTATCAGGTAGACCAGAAGATCAACAGCTGATCGACCTCGACGAAAACCGTATTGGTGGTTGAGGAGCACCAGCTGATTAGTGAATCAGCTAGTGCTCCTCAAGGTACCGCATGAGCTGGCAGTTTATAATGGATTCCATTATTTTGGGGAACAAGGAGGTAATGGCGATAGGCCTGTAGTTGGACGGATCTGAGAGGTCGCCTTTTTTAGGGATCGGCTGGACAAATACCGTCTTCCATGACTTCGGGACTACGCCTAGGGAGTAGGAGTACCGGAAAAGACGCGTTAGAATCGGTGCAAACTCCAGAGCACACGTCCTCAGCACAATTAAGGAAATTCCGTCAGGTCCACTCGACTTGTGAATGTCCAGGGAGAGGAATGCTTTGTGAACCGAACGCTGTAAGAACCGCACATCCGGCATGGAGCACTCACACCGCCGGATGATCGGTGGTGTGTTCCCTCCATCATCGAGTCGAGTTGACCTCAAAGAAAGAGCCTAGCAGATCGGCTTTCTCCTTTCCGGCATGGGCCAGTAAGTCGTCCTCCCTGTGCAGAGATGAAAGAGATGGCTGGCAGAAGTTCCCTTGGACAGCCTTGGCGAGAAACCAGAATGCACGTGTTCCCGAAGGAAGGCGAATTAGTTTCTCGCTAATTCTGCCTATGTGCTCTGACTCTGCCTTGGCAATGACTCTTTTGAAGGACCTGACGGCGGAGTTATACTTCTTTTTAAGGGCGCTGATGTTTACATCTCGGGAAGTTGATGCGTCAGCCCAGGCCCGGTAGCACTTCTGCTTGTAGCGTGATGTTATTTTATAGGAGCGACTAAACCACGGCTGAGATCTGCCTCTGATGGGACACCACAGAGGGAGGAATAAAACATTCCATACCCTGAAGTACCACAAGAGCAACAGAATTAGCAACAACATTGGGATCGTCCGGCAAGAAGTAAAGCCAAGGGTAGGATGCAAAGAAAGACCGCATTCCATCCCAATCGGTCGACCTATAGTGCCAAAGACGGCGGCAGCCTGCAGAAAGAAAGCGCGATTTCAGCGGAGTGGCACCACACTTCAGACTAGACAATGGTCCGAGGAGCCAAAGGCGTCGACGGAGACCTGATATCTGTCCGGATGAGAGATCAGCAGAAGGTCCAACAGGGAAGGTGCATGATCCTCTACATCTCGAATCCGCATAGGTGTAGTAACCAGTTATGTCAGACCATATGCCAAGGCAAAATCATGAACAGATCTCCTTGCATGATCGGGTAAACGTGAACCGAGCCATTCCACATGATGGGTGTTAAAATCGTCAAGAATCATGATCTCTGTGGATGGGACCTCTTGTAGCAAGAAATTTGTAGCCATTTGGACGTGGTTGATGAGTCAGCCTGTTTCGGCATTACCATGATGGAACCTGTAAAGGCACCCGTAGACTCATGCATGGTTGTTGCTGTCTACGCGTAGCCAAAGGATAGACAAGTCCGACCTTCAAGACTGCTAAGGCGTCGAGAACAGATGTCCTCTCTGACATATACGTAAACTTCAGTCCGAGGAACAAAGGAGTGTTCCAATTTGTACCCCGGGTACGTGAGATACGAAGTATCAGCCGGAGAGGACACCTGCATCTCGGTCAGAAATTCAATACTTATTACACATTTGTTTTCCTTATCTAACAACATATACGAAATGCATCTTTTTTTTGACATTGATTTTTTGATTGATCGAAAAATATACATAGAAACTCTTTTATTCAATACTAGCTATAACCCATGACTTCTGCGTGGAATAGATTACGATTGGAATTCATGGGCTTTATTTTTTAACACAGAACCTTAATTCTTTACCTGAAATAGCCTATCTTACTCCTTATAACATCATCTATCTGCCAGACAAAGTCCTATCAAAATTGGTGCAGAAATCTCAGAGATTAGCCGGAACAAACAGAGACAGACAGACCAAAATTTTAAAATAGTTTTTTGTTATAAGTACCATATACTATGAATATATATTGATTTCCTTACATTTTTTGTCTTACATTAGCATTACATTTTCCTCTTTATGTTTTAAATCACATATTGCTCTTATCACTCTCTTCTACTTAATCTGGAATATTAATATTTGGCTAGCTTTTTTATTATCAATATAATATAAGCTTAAGTTGCATCCATCTGACAAATTGCTGTTGCATCTTTCAGCTGTCTATAAAGTACTCTGTGGTGGCATAATTTTTGTGTTTTATTTGTAAACAGAAAAACTAATAGTGAATTAAATATTGCATACATAGATTCATATACATCGAAGGCCCGCCACATACATACGGAATTCTGTTTCGAGATTCCGTTTTGGAATTCCGAACAGTCGGCCACAAACAAACGGAATCCCGTTTTGCCCGCAAAATATCGAACGGAAAACCACCGCACGTGTGTGGCAGGTCATAGATTTTATATGGACTTGCTGCGTTCGGGATTCCGAATCGGAATATCGAAACAGAATCTCGAAACAGAATTCGGTATGTATGTGGCAGGCCTAATAAGTGAAAATAATGTAGGTATTAATAATTGTCAAGATTAAACTTAGTACTTTAAGAATAAGAATTGATAAATAGTTAGAAATAAGTATATAAACAATAATCTGCATTTCACTATCAACACAAAACAATGTAATAATAGTGGTATTAATATCTGAAGGATAAATATTATTACAGCACTACAGCAATGAGAAATTATACCTTTTTTTCTTAACACTATTATTTAGTTCTGAACTTAAAAACGTTTTTCAAATTATTAATACTTTTGATATGAACATATTCACATAATTATAATTACTAAGATATGGCATGTATTTGTGATTGTGGTATATATAAGTAATTGATGTTTTCATTACAGTTCACAAAACAGTAAAAACAAAAAAACGTTAATGGGACAATGTACTATATTATGCATGAAAATTATTCATGATAAATAAGTAATAATAGTAAATCAAGTCTAAAACTCATAAAAACTGATATATTAATGCTTTCTTTTATTTATACTAGACATAACTAACTTACATACTAGTAATACTGACTTTTTCTTTATGAAATCATTTTAATATTTTTGTATTTTTTATAAAGCCACTGGTACCAAAGTACTTAACGTTTTTAATATAAAGAAATCAAGGTACGTTTGTCTTACCTCACCGCTACGGGCTGCAGGTGAATTCTCTTCAATTTGATAAATAATATGTGGCAAACCGGCTTCGCCAAGCAAAGAAAATCCGAATCCTAAGTTGTCACTACGATTCAGGACCACTAGTCTTTCGTCAGCCATATTCAGTGTAGAGCAGCATTGGTTAATATTTTCACTAGGATTTTACGATTATCACTTAGCAGCACTTTTTAAACGACTAACGAAATTAATATTACTCAACAAATTTTATGAAAAGATTCATAATTTTAGAAGATTTAACGTAAATCAAGCGCAGCGCACCCAGCTAACCATAGATAACATTGTTATGTTGTTACGAATTACGATTCACCAATTCAGACAGGCAAAAGTCATGGACCATACAGACTAATTAATCTTATGTGTAATTTAAGTTCATAAAATTCTTCATAATATGTTAGTAATATGATGTTTCTCATCTCATGTTTCAGTTATCCTCTGCCGCCTCTTACGACACCCACGGCACGATATGGGGTAGCGGATATTCCTACGTCGCCACTACACGGTAAATTTTATTTGCAAGGGTGGTGGTCACAAAAACATTTCCTTAGATAATAAGATAATAATATCATGACATTATATTGTATCTGTATTCCTCATAATAATTTATGTTTCTATACAAAGATACAAACTAATTAATAATTTACAAAACTAGTTGCGTTTCACAGCTTGCGGCACCGACGTTCTCAAAGACCCTACGCCTGTAGAGATGGGTAACTCAGGAGAGATAGATACAAAAGATATGAATCAATCCGTTTCCATCAATCATTCTTTATATCCATCCGCATCCGAATGTATCACTGTATCAGTATATCTTTACAACTTATTCTCTCAACACATCTTTTAACTTTTTCTAACATCTGTGTCGCACATTGCGCCCACTGCTTTCTATTATACCTCGGCTGGCACGGCCGGTCGTTCCAGGAAGATTTCGGAAAGTGCATAGTACAGACGTTTCTTTCGCAGGTCACTATTTAGAATGTTCTGTCGCGCTTTGGCAAGACGGAGAGAGTGAGTTGTTTGACCATTATAAACTGTAATACGTTAGCACAAAAAGGTAAATTGATAACTCTATGACTGGTGCATAGGGCTTAAAGTCATTAAGCGGTACGTTAACATTTAAGTATTATACTGATTTGAACTGTACCTATGTGTACTTTACCTATAAATATTTTAGTAAACAATGCAAACTAATTTCTGTTATAAAACCATAGTTTTTAAGAAAGTTTTATAATCGAAATTAATAGTCGTTTATATCCATAAAAAAGTAGAAAAAAGATTTGTGATTTACAAAATTAAACAAATATATCAGTTTGCTTCATTAGTTCAACGTTAATCTCGGTTTGGGAACGAGAGTAATATTGTTTGCGTTAATGGCATCGAATAGAAAATTATTTGAAGTTGTTTTGTACACTTAGTGACTGTTTAATTTAAACGTAGGTAAATAAGACATTCAGTGTAAATAGTTTACAAGTGTTTTTTGTTCTGTACGTACAGTTAGTAAATGTTTCATTTATTTTAAGTGTAAATAATTTTGCGTAGTTAGTGTTTTATTAATAAAAAAAATGGGTTCACGAAAACGAAGCGCAGTGTGGAATCATTTTGAGGAAGTAGAACCAAAAAAAAGCAAAATGCCTTTATTGTGCGAACATGCTAAATGTACCCGCTGGAAATTGTGGTAACCTTCCCCACAGTACCCCTCGTAGCTAAAAGACAGCCAACGCAGCAGGCATGTTTTCAAGAAGCCGAAACTATATAATGTATATTTTCTACAAATTAAAACAAACAATACCTACCCTACTTACGTTATTTACGTTAATCATTAATTTAATTATTATTTTAAACTAAAAATTTAAGTTAATTTCTCGAATAATCATCATCATCATCATTACAGCCCTTCACAAGTCCACTGCTGAACATAGGCCTCCCCCAAAGAATGCCACAAAGCACGGTCCTGAGCCACCTGCATCCATCGACTTCCTGCATGTCTTACCAGGTCGTCACTCCATCTCGTGGGGGGACGCCCTACACTTCGCCTACCGGTACGAGGCTGCCACTCGAGAACCTTTCTTCCCCATCGGTTGTCGGTTCTTCGAGCTATATGGCCGGCCCACTGCCACTTCAGCTTACTAATCTGTTGGGCTATGTCGGTCACTCTGGTTCTACTGCGGATATCCTCATTCCTAAGTTTATCACGCAGAGAAACTCCGAGCATAGCCCTCTCCATAGCTCGCTGAGCGACCTTGAGCTTCCTCATACGGCCAGCAGTGAAGGACCACGTCTCAGTTCCGTAAGTCATCACTGGCAACACGCACTGGTTGTACAATTTCGTTTTAAGGTTTTGAGGTATGTCTGACGAGAAGATGTGTCGTAGCTTCCCGAACGCTGCCCAGCCGAGTTGAATCCGTCGATTGACCTCTCGGTCGAAGTTGGACTTACCTAGTCGGACTATTTGTCCCAGGTAAACATACTCGTCAACAACTTCGAGCTTAGTGCTCCCAACAACTACCGGCATAGGTGTGACATGGACATTAAACATGATCTTTGTTTTGTCCATGTTCATCTTAAGACCTATCCGTTGGGAAACACTATTGAGGTCATTGAGCATAGTGCTTAGGTCCTCCAGCGATTCTGCCATAAGGACTATATCGTCGGCAAATCGAAGGTGAGTGATGTACTCGCCATTGATGTTGATACCGTATCCTTTCCAGTCCAGAAGCTTGAAAACGTCTTCCAATGCAGCGGTGAAGAGTTTCGGGGATATGACGTCACCCTGTCTTACACCTCTCTGCAATTGGATAGGTTTCGTATTCTGGTTCTGTACTCGGATAGCCATCGTAGCCCTACTGTACAAGCACTTCAACACTTCGATATACCGACAGTCAACTTGGCACCGCTGAAGGGACTGCAGCACCGCCCAAATTTCGACGGAATCAAAGGCTTTCTCATAGTCCACATACGCCAGACATAGTGGCAAATTGTACTCTTCGGACTTCTGTACAACTTGCCGAAGGGTATGTATGTGGTCTATGGTGCTAAAGCCTTTTCGGAAACCGGCTTGTTCGGGAGGCTGGAAGTCGTCAAGTCTGCGCGCGAGACGATTCGTAATGACTCTCGAAAACAGCACGTAGACGCGGCTCAGAAGGGAAATCGGTCTGTAGTTCTTCAAGAGAGCGTTGTCACCTTTCTTGAAGAACAAGACCACCGCACTTCTGCTCCACGCCTCCGGTGTAATGCCACCATGGAGGACAGAATTAAAGAGCTTCTGAAGGACTTCAAGTACCGGTCTTCCACCCGCTTTCAGAAGCTCCGCTGTAATTCCATCCTCGCCTGGGGCCTTACCGTTTTTAAGGTGCTGGAGAGCCATACTAATCTCGCTCAGACTGACATCCGGGATATCTTCGGAATAGTGTCGGATGAGACTCGCTCTTGGATCGTTACTCACACTTGCGTGTGGCTCCAACGATGATGTGTACAGCTGCCCATAGAACCTCTCAATCTCACTCAAAATCTCAGGTGTCCCGGAAACGATGCTGCCACACTCTGTCTTCAGCTTTGACAGTTGGCTCTTTCTGGCAGACAGATCTCTGGCAAAGACTTTGGAGCCTTGGTTCCGCTCGATCGCTTCTTCAATACGAGCTGTATTGAAGTTGCGTAAGTCCCGCCGCATGCAGTTGGAGATCTGTCTGTTCAGATGCCTGTATGCTGTCAAGTCTGTTGAAGAATGTAGCTTCATCTCCCGTCTAACAGCCATGAGATTAAGAGTGTGATCGGAGAGTTTTTGTGTTCTTCTGCGGCGGGTCTTGCAGAACTTAGCTCCGACCGCATGGACAGTTTCCACGAGCTTGTCATTCATATCGTCCACTTCATTGCAGTCTTCCAGGCACTGAAAACGGTTTTGTAACTCGAGCTGAAAGGTTTCGGGACTTTGGAACAGAGCACGAGGGGGACGGAGCGTTGACTTCATTAGACGAGACCTCTCCAACTTAACGTTTAGGTTCAGTGTGCCTCTAACCATTCGGTGATCGCTACCAGTTTTCACCCTCGCGATCACGGAGACATCACTGAACAGTTGTCGTCTGGTCGTCATAATGAAGTCAATCTCATTTTTTGTGGAACCGTCGGGGCTCGACCAGGTCCACTTCCTGTGGGGCCGCTTCTGGAAGAAAGAGTTCATCATAAAGAGTCCCTCTTTCTCCATGAAGTCGGCCAGCTGCTGGCCCCTTGGGTTCCGTTGCCCTATTCCAAATTTCCCTACCTTCAGCTCACCGTTCTCTCTTGTGCCTAGTTTTGCATTGAAGTCTCCCATTAACACCGTATATTGGGTTTTGGAGGAATGCATGGCTCTAGAGATATCCTCATACATTTCCTCCACCTCCTCATCGGGGTGTGCCGAGGTTGGTGCGTAAACCTGTATGACCTTCAGCGAATACCGTTTGGTGATTCTGAGTATAAGGTAATTTCTCGAATAAGTGCCTATTAATATTTATCAATCATAACAATAACAGCGCTCGCTGTAAAGTTCACAGTACGCAAGCAACCCGGGTTCGATCCCCGCCGGCACCAATGAAATTGTTAATTGCAATTTTAAGTGCTGATTTACCACGTGCTCGGCGATGAAGGAAAACATCGTGAGGAAACCTGCATGTCTGAGAAATAGGAAAACTTTAATTTTTTTATCATAACAAATAGATACCTCGAAAGAAACAACAGCCAAGTATATCAGAAAGATACACAATGTTACAACCAAGCAAAATGCAAACAGCTCTATAGGTACTTATCTATCACTCTTACTGATAGGATTGAGTTGAGCGAAGCGAGCCACGCTGAGTGAGCAACGCAACGTAATGCGATGCGTGTCGTGAAAGCGAGCTTGATCTACTGATACATAAGGATATAAAGATATAAAAGAGTGATACATATCCAAGTGATCAAAAGATACATATCAATCTTTTCTTTTAAGTGATACACATTGCCCATGTCTATACGCCTGTGTTATGGTCAACGCCGGGCACGGTAGCACAGAGTACATTATATAAACACGGTAGCAAAGCAAGGCGCATGAGCAGCTCCTTTAATCTACACAATAACTTTTGTTTCAATTT